TTAAGGATATGCTCCTTTAGAATTTTCCTAAAGTTAAACTCCTGGATGTACAAGGTTCTTTGCTCTTCAAGTGTGTCCAGGAATTCTAGGACACTATTGCAAGTTTTGATCAAACTATTGAGATTTGACAGATTTTTACTCCATTTTTTGAGGGCTGCTCTTAAGAGTTTGAACTTAGCAGTAATCCTTGTGGCACTATTTGTAGCATTAACATGGGAAGACCAAACAGATGCGACTGTGTCATAAAAGCCTGGATGCTTGATCAAGATATTTTCAAACCTAAAAACCTGAGCCTTGGGAATAGAAGTGCCAATTTGAACCTTGCATGGGATATGATCAGAGGTTGGTCTAGCCATTGGGAGGTGGAGTGTTGGGGTACACAGAAGTCCAGTTGACGGAGGTGAAAACCCAGTCAATTTGTTCTAGAAGAGGCTCATTTTGCATATTACTCCAAGTGAATTTTCTACCTTTTAGAGGAATTTCCATCAGACCCAAGTTGCTAATTATCTCATTAAAGATCATGGTGTCATTCATGTTTCCACCATCTTTGTTTCTGTCTGAGAGGGATCTGTAGAAATTAAAGTCACCCAATATCATCCAGTTATCAACTTCAATTTGTAGATTATTGAGCCACTGAACAAAAACATCTCTTTCAGGCCCATGACAGGGGCCATATACAGTTGTGAGTTTCCAGATTTGGCCATTATGCGCTGAGGAAAATTAAACTGTGACAGAAAACTTATTTATCTGAAGCACCTCTCCACTGAATATAGAACTAATCCAGCCTATCAAAATACCTCCCGAGGCGCCATCAGAAGGAGAGAAGGCAAACTTGTTGAAACGTTTGGGTGCAAGCTTCTTGATATAAGAATGGTCAAAATTACTTCGCTTAGTTTCCTGAATGCAGAAAATTGAGCAGGCACTTTCTTCAATTTTTTCTTTAACAGCATTACACTTGTCAACTGAATTTATCCCTCTGATGTTCCAGTTAAGAATACTCCAATCTCTATTAAACCTACCGTTGCTGCTTTCACTGGTCCCAGTATTCATTAGGGATGGTGATCATTTGTGCTGCCACTCTTGCTTGGGCCAGCTTCATCTTCAGGCCTTGACGCAAAGAGCAGTTCCGCTGTCACCTCCGAAGGAGCGACGCAACAAGTTTCCACTGCTATCTTCTGAATTTTAGCAATAGGTATTTCATTATCAGCATATTTAGCAATATCAGAGTCCTGGGAAATCAACATCTTGACTAGGAGGAAGTAAAATACTACCAAGGAGATCTGCTTGGGGCATGGTTCCTTTTCCTTTGGCTTTGTTTCTGATGGTTGCCTTCTTTGCAGACATCACAGTTGGCTTGCATCCATCAAGTGTACCAATGAATCTCGGACTCCTGAGCTCCTAGTGGTAACAGGGGTGCTACATCTCTTTTTCCTTGCAGCTGTACCTTTTCCTTTGTTCACATTGGGAGTGTCAGTTGGGAGAGCAGCTCCAAATTCTTCAGGGAAGTCAGGGAAGGCATTGCCTGCATGTTCTGGGGTAGGCTCCATTTCAGTGATTTGCTTTTCAAGTGTCTTGGTCTTGTTCTTGAGCTTCTTCCTATAATAGACCTTACTTATGGAAGTGGTGCTTTTGTATGGAGCAACAACTGGACCTTGCAGACTTAGCAAAGCCAGAGAGTTTCCTGGGGCTTCGTCTAGCTGAAAAATGCCAGGAGCAGTCACTGCATTGATGACATTATTCTGAGCAGGAGCATTGACACTGATGCTGATTGAGTTGATCCCCAGAGCAGAGAGATCAATCTTAATAAGGGAACTTGGGGTGGACAAGCTGCCCCTTAGTCCTGAGGCACCTGAAACCCTTTGATTAACTATGAGTAGTTTCAGACCACCAGCCAGGTAATTGAAGATGACCTCTCTCTGCATGTTGTCCCTCTGCTCCTTTGTCAAAGTGTTGTTCATGCAGGGAACAAGGGGGTTGTTGTTTGCAGGTACTTGTGTTTGCTCAACTGCCACCTGCTGGATTACTAAAGCGCTCTGAACACTGTGATCATTTGCAGTGACCATTTCTTTGATAGCACCTTGCCCTGGCTGGAGATGACTATTAGAGGGCGCAGCATGAATCCTTGCGACAGAGCCTTGATCTTCAGTTATAACTTCCTGATTCTAATTAGCTTCTATCAAGTGATCCATGACTTGGTCAGCAGCTTGCACAACATGGTCCACTTCGCCTGGAACAATAGGCCCTTGAAAAGGATGTGGGCCACTGTTATGCGAAGGGGGGTTGAGGAAGCCGGAACGTCGCTTGGCGCATTGGGTCCAAGGGACCACTGAATAGAAATTTCTCCCTCGCCGCTAGTTTCTTTAGACGGGTGACACTTACTGGGCTTCAAGGCCCATTTCAGATTTTGGTCTAATCGCCTTTTGTTACAAAAGCGAGCTTTATGACCATAGTTGTAGCAATAAAAGCACTGGATTTTCTCCCAACAGTCTCTTATTAGATGGTCTGGACTCGGGCATTTGAAGCAGAGGTGAGTTGAAGAGTTCGGGAAGAAATTTAAGCGTTCACCTTGGGGATGAGGCCCTTCATTAATCATTTCAGTCGGCTGAAAGTTGGCGGCCTGCTCTGATGGATAAGTCTGGCTGGTCTGGTCTTTGTGGGGCTGCTGGCTGTTGCTGCCACTAGGACAGCATCTTAGAGAACAGCATCTTAGCATCTTAGACTAGCATCTTAGCATCTTAGACTAGCATCTTGGCATATGCTTGGCTGGCTAGCAGCCTATAAATATGTATCCCCAACCCCTCAGGTTGGCATGGCATTTGTGTAAAAAATAAACCAGAAAAATTGCCCCAACTCCTAGTGTTATCCTCTCTCGATGAGAGTAAGAATTCTGCTACTACCAAGAATAAGAATTCAGCGACTAACATGCTCAATGTTGCCGGCCTGATAAATGTTGGTGGCTCGATCAGGAGGGCTGTTGATGTGAAGATCTCTTTTGAGATTTTGAAAGATACCTTGGTTCCGAGAGCCCTTTGTACTTGAGGTAGCACTCTTGCTAGTACCAACAGGAGCACTTTGAACAATATGAACACCAAGCTCACTATTAACATTGTGAACACCAAGACACCAGAAGACGCCTGAGAGATTTCGAGGGGTGGCATGTGCTCAGAATCCCTTCCAAGACCAGAGTCAGCTGTGGAGCAAACCGAATCACTGCTGGAAGAAATAGTGATAGGACAAAAGAACTTGCCAATCTTGATGACTGGGCCAATCTCAGTAGGATGAGATTTACGCGCTGGGGAATCTTGAACGAGCTTACTGCAGAAAGAAACATTCTTAGAAGTCAATTTGCGCTTAGTTTTTGGACTAAGCACCATTGTCCAACTAGCTTTCTCTTCTTTGTCCCAACGCTTCTTCTCAAGTTCCCAATTATCACCTCCGCCTCGCCACAAGTGGAAATAGACGTCAAAATGAGCAGTCGTGATTCTTCTGAGATCGAATTAGCAGACCAACATGCTTGGAGGCGACGGAGAAATGAAAGTGGCGGTCACTTTGGTAAGTGACATGAAAACCAGCGGGAGCGCCTCCCAAACAGCAGTGCAAAGCCAAAGCAACTGAATCTTCCGTGAGACGAAAAAGAAACCTGCTGAAACCCACGAGCACGAAGAAAGAGCCGTCCGGGGAGGAAGAAGGATGATGCACCGAGGAGGAAAATTTGTGCACAACCTCAGCTTCAAAGCGCTTACCCGGGGAGAAGTCCCATTCTCTGACCAGCTCTGCAAGAGCAGGGTCCTGCTCGAGTTCGATGAGAGCGCCCGGAGGTTGCCGAGCCGTCAGAGGCGACCTAGCCAAAGAGGGGCCTCCCCAGAGATGCGCCGATGCAGCCGGGGACCAACATTGACGGGGGAGAGGCAAGGCGAGGTTGTTGGCGCACTGCGAGGGGAGGGGGGGCTGCTAGAGCGGAACGGGAGGGCAAGAGCGCCGGCTGCGCACGGGTGTAGCACGAGCGAGACTGCGCGCTGGCCGGCGGCGCGGGCGAGCGCAAGCGAGGCTGCGCGCTGGCCGGCGGCGCGGGCGCGGCGGGCAGCGGCCGACACGAGCGTGGGCCGGCAGCGCGGCGGGCAGCGGCCGACACTGCTTAGTTGGTAGAATTGATGGAGCAGCAAAGTCACTTGATGTTATGCACTCAGTTGAGCTATAGGTCTTTGTTTACCATAATTACTATTACTAATATTATTTCTATTTTTTACCCTCTTTATTGGTAAATCATGTTAGATTTTATTTTAGGCCTTGTTTGGCAGAGCTCTGGCTCTAGGAAGTCGAGCTAGTCACCTGTAGCTCTAGGAAATCCTGGATCTAGAGCTGCAGACATGTAAAGTGCATTTACATGACTCATTCCGTTTATGTTTTAGATTAAATAAAAATATTTAAACCACTTTAATTTAATCTACAAACTACATATCCATCATAGACCTCAGAGCTAGAGCTGTAGTAAATGGGCCTTTAGACTACACCAATTTTCTTGGGATTAAAAGGCTCTGTTGTCATTGCTAATTTTCTTACATAAAAATGCATTAGTAGATCCATTTTGATAAATATTTCAGTGAGTTCACTCGCATATGTTTATAATAATGTTCGAAGACGTGTATCAGAGGCTTTGTCAATGCCAAAAATAATTATTAACAAAAATCGGAGGGAGTAACAACATGGAAATATGAAACCACTGGATATAAATATATAAATGCATGACAATGCATGTGTATAAGAAAAAACTACATCAACAATGTTATCATTTTGGTGAATAGAACAGGCTTGGATCACTGCTATGTTTGGCATTATTGCACCTTTTTAAGTACAGTGCAGAATCCAGTTAGTAACAGAGGATCATTAGCGGATCTCATATCTTTGCCAGTCTTCTTATTATTCAATCTGTTTATGTGATAAAATTACAAAAATAATGGTGTGAAGGAGTTTTTTCTACCACCGCATCATTTAATCATTACCTGTGAAACAGGCACACTCCAACCTTTTTCAAGGGACCAATCAAGGGCCGGCCTCAGATCCTTACAATCAGCATCATAGTAACCACCTTCACCAATTGGCTCTTCATGCAAAGCTATCTGCAGACAAAGGCCATGTAAAAATAGCTCATTGTATCTTTCTCGATATACATGGCTCTGACTAAAAATTAATCACCAAACGATAATGCATTTTAATCACCAAAATATACCACTGACTATGATATTGATAAGTGGCACCCAATCTCAAATATTAGTGGAACACTCAGTTGTATTTTTGAGAAGTTAGTTTCAATTTTTATGAATGGGTTTTCTATTAAGAAATGACTGAAACATAGGATTAAGCATATGTCAGCTGACTGAAAGGATAAAAGTTTTCCACTTGTTAAAAACTACATATTATCAATATCAATGTGATTATTTCTAAAGCATAACAGCGTGCATAATCATTGTTTGCTAATCCTACCTTTCTCACACGGTTCCATATGCCACAAAAGTGGATACCAAGTGCATGTGTAACGAACATGGGCACAAACAACACAATGGTGCAAAATATTGTGAAAAAAAATTGATAGTGCAGCATGATTATGCTTAATTGATATCCTCAGAAACAATTTCCACAAGAGTGCAAATAAGAAAACAATGGACAGAAATCAATTATGTGAAAGCAGCAGGGCATTGTTATTAACCATTTGAACTGTTAAGTATTACCTTTACTTTGTCATCACCAAGTAACTCAATAATTTTCCCAGTCCAGTAACAATCAGTATACCACCAATCGATCAAGTCACCTACTTTCCATGGACCAGTCACAATTGCCACAGCATGTGTCTTTGGGAGTTGGTTAGGTTTTTCATTCTCCCAATAGCATTGTGGAAAGGTAGGGCGTACCATGATCATCCTACTGGGATTTGATTTCCTCATGTGGCTACCTGGGGGAATTTTGTATAGCCGAGTCCATGTCTTCTCTGACAAAGGAAAAAGAAACCTGTAAGACGTGAAAACTGTTGTGGATCACCGGCAATCTCTTGGCGCTGGAGAACTCTAATCCGAGCACTCAAGAAACCGAAGAACAACTGATGAACTCAGGATTTTGGTGCTACTAAATTTTGCAGTGTTTTCTGTGTATAACTGTATATTGCTGAGAATATATATACAAGTGATTACATAAAACGGAAACAACTCCATACGCTGAACTCCACGCATGATCACGCCATCCCACGATTGCTCCATGTTGCGCATAAAGCCGGGCACTCACCTATGACTCCAACTCCACTAAACCAACTACCCACGCTGTTAGGACTTAATGCCCTACCGGCGTTACTGCGCAGCCCTGGAACTCTCGTGGTGCTACAGTACCGAGGGTACTGTTCAGACGAGGGAGAGAGGGTAGGAACGGCTGGCTCCCAGGGGAAGCCAGCAACTTAATTGTTGCTTCTTGCTTGACTATAACTGATACAGGGTTCTCTTTTTATAGAGATGACTGACTTGACCCCTAAGGAAATATCCTAACCGAATCAATCTAACATATCTCTTTCCTAACAAACCAAATAATCTGTTCACGCGCTACAGTACCGCATGCTACAGTACCGCGTGGGCCCCTAGGCCAGCTCCACTTGCCATAACACTACTCCGCCCCTCCAAGACAGCTCGTCCTCGAGCTGTGGCAATTGCTGGAGCAGAAACCTTGCAGTCCAGAGAAGATCGCCATGGCAGCCCTGCTCAAGGAGTCCTATGTTGCATTTGTAATTGAGCTAGAAGACATACGGCTCCACAAAATCAATTCCGTCCCGTGGAATCTGCTTCTGCAATGGTGCACGATCCATACCTTCCTCCTCAAGGTGCCAAACCTGGCTGCTCCATCTGATCTGCCCGGAATCTAATCCACCTGACTCGAATCCATGGGCGCTTCAAGACGTGGAGTCGATGGCGCCCCACGAGCGACCACCATCGCTATGGGTGCGTGCGAGAAAGAGAGGCTGCTACCGAGGCGTACTCAAGCAAACCGATGGAGCTTTGAAGGCTCTTCTTGCGGACGGCAGGGAATCTGCGCATGCAAACAGCCACGGCCCTGCTCGAGGGATCGGTGTTGTGGCTCGTAGAGGCAGCGACAAAAGCACCATGTCCGCCAATGTTGGTGCAGGGTTGATCGCCTGCATGGGTGACGCTGGTGAAGAGACTGCCAAAGTCGTGACAGCCGGGGTCTTCACTGGTGGTGAGCCGTCGTATGTGGTGAACTCCAACTTGTAAAACTTGGGCGGCGGCCGATGGCGCCGCTGCCCGTCTTAATGAGGGCGACCTTGCGGAGAGAAGCGTCGGCATCAGATCGCCGCCGACGTGGAACAGGGCCGCCCACCCCGCCGTAGAGGACGCCGAGCGGGCGCCGCCAGCGCTCATGACAACCGATGGTCGGGAGCGGCGGTAGGTGAAGTCTTGGGAGTCTCTGGCGCCGTGTAGATGGGTTTCGACGAACCGCGATCAAGCCGGAAGCGGTGACGGCGACGGCGGGAACTTGATCTGCTGGATGGGGACATACAGGGACGGCGGCGCTTGTTGGGAACGAGGTCGTGTAGATCCGTCGTAGGGCATCCCATCTTGGTACGAGATGACCCGGCGCTGTGGTCGCGCCGAAAGGGCAATGGCGGGGGGTAGCCGCTATTGGTGTGGTGGCAGAGGAGGTGGCGGTGGGGCTACTGGTGGGGTGCTTAGGGCCGACGAGGAAGGCCACGATTTACGCCACAGCTTGCCCTAATTCGAGATTGCGGCCGTCATCATCTGCTCCGGGGTGAGGACGAGGGAGACGATCTTAAAGGCAGAGGGTATAATCGCCCCTGAGGACGCCAGTGCGCCCAATGCTTGCATGCCTTTCTTTGTGTAAGAAGCGGCAATGACCGACAAAGATTTCTGGTGGCGGCGGGCGGGTGTCGGCGGTGGCAATGGTGGGAAGAACTTCGGTAGAAAGTGGACATGATCGAACCAGAGATCTCTCGATGCAGTTGTTAGGACTTGATGCCCTACTAAAGCGTTTGTTACATGACCATAGAACTCTCGTGGTGCTACAGTAGCGAGGGTACTGTTCACGCGAGGGAGAGAGGGTAGGAACGGCTGGCTCCCAGGGGAAGCCAGCAACTTAATTGTTGCTTCTTGCTTGACTATAACTGATACAGGGTTCTCTTTTTATAGAGATGACTGACTTGACCCCTAAGGAAATATCCTAACCGAATCAATCTAACATATCTCTTTCCCAACAAACCAAACCATCTAATCTAATCTGTTCACGCGCTACAGTACCGCATGGGCCCCTGGGCCGGCTCCACTTGCCATAACACACGCGATCTCTGATCAAGTCCATGCTAACACCAAACGAAACAGTTAACAACAAGCTAACTTAACTACCCTAAGCTAGCAGATTAGATGATAATGGTGAGGAGCAGGAGTAGCTCGACAAAAACTACAGTGGACAGCCTAAACTGGCTTTCTGACAAGGGTACAGCTGAACAGAACAAAACAATGTACTGAACCTGTGCTTTGACTTCTACTTTTTTATTAGATGCAAATACAACAGCTACTGTTAAATACTGAACTTGCATGGTTTATAGGATCATCACATTGAAATAATAAAAAGAAATTACCCAAAAATTGAAATTTACAATATTTGTGTGCCCATGGGCACTTCCCCAGCAAGTGAAAAATCATTACAAATACATGATACACTATTCCAAATTTTCTAAAATTTTAATGGTTAAATCTATTACCTTATGATACAACGACAACAATAGCAGTAACAGAACCTTTTAGTCCAAAGCAAGCTTACTTGTGGGGGATGGGTAACAAAAAAGACAAGCTCCGGACCATGTGCAATTCATATCTAGTGCTTGTTTTGTAGTTCTCTAACATGAAGGTTAATTGCACCTTGAAATTTTGTATTCACTGAACCTTGCCTTCCACTATCAAGGTTGAGTTGAGGGGAGGGGCATCCCGCCCATGCTTGGGAGCTTGCGACGGCGGAGCAGCTCCTCAACAAGTTTTGTTCGACAAGAGGCCCACACCATGACATGGCCGCTTGACGCGACATTTTCCAGGTCACGGCTTGGTGTCTCACAGAGATGGTGCTCAAAATCATTGAACCTCTGGTGGCCATTGAAGGACCTCGACCGGCAAAGTGCTCCCGGACCTATCCAGTTCGAATCTTGGTTACACCGTTTGACCAGCCGTTGATGGCGGATGATCCTCCGGCACTGCCTCCAGCTAATGACAATCGACATCGTCACAGGCGGTGCCGCCGCCACCAAGCTTCTCCAACTTCTTCACCGGTGCAAGCGGCGCTGGGCAACTTGTTGTCGGTGGAGGCGGCGCCATGGGTACTGGTGCTTGCCAGGTTGGGGCCGCAATCCACTGGAGCCAGCCACGTGGTGCTTGAACACAAGTCGCCACCTTCGGTGGACCCTCTTCCTCCGTGCAATAGCTTTATTCCTTCGGCCGGCAATGATGGCTTGGTGGCCTCTGTTCTTTCCGATGTTCTGCTGGAGAACAAGACGGTTTGCCTGGAGAACGATGCCCCACCGCACGCGGACGATCCAGTTGATCAACCGCTTGTAAATGTGTCCGGCATGAATACCTCTACGCCCCAGGTGTCCTACCCTGTATGCATTGCTTCCGATAGGAATCACACGATGGGAAGGGGGGGGGGTATGCGGCTGCTGAGCTGTCGCGGGTCTCAACTGGGTAGGATTGCTGGTGTAATTCTTTAACCCCGGCTGATGTTTCTAAAGTTTTGTCTAGGACTAGTGGGGCTAGGAGGGTCCTTGACAAACCCACAACAGCCTGGTTCCCAGGCTGCCTGGCGTCCCCACAACCCTTTGATCATGAAATGGAGGTAACTGTCTTGAGTCCTGGGAGAGAGATCAGCAGCCTTTAGATTATGGTGGCTTAGGCATTCATAACCTAGAAATCCTCGGTTGAGCTTTGCGCATCTGTTGGCTTTGGGCTACCCTGCTGGGCTGTGGACTGGTATTAAAGAATGCCCAAGCGTTAAATATGGACACAGAAACAGTTGTGGGGAATGGTGAATCCATTCGTTTTTGGACGGATTGGTGGTTGATAGGCAGGACCATGGCAGAATGAGCTCCCAATTTATTTAAGGCAGTCCCAAGAGGGGCAGTCAAAGCTCGGACTGTAGCTCAGGCACTCCAAATAGGAATTGGGTGCGTGATATCAAAGGGGCCCTAACAGTTGTGGTACTGGTTGAGTACCTGCAGGTATGGGACTTGGTGGATGGCCTAATTCTGCAACCAGGTGTCCTTGATCAGCATTGTGGGAAGCTAACCCAATCCAGGGTCTACAGCAGCAAATCAGCTTACGCCACATTCTTTGGGTGCCTTTGGTTGGGCTTTTGGGAGCTGCTTTTGCTTCCAAAAAGCCAAAAGCCAACCAAAGGGGTGGAAACCAGAAGTTGCTTTTTTAGAAGCAGCTACTTTTGGGTAGTACAGTTTTGAAAGCGCCTTGGACCCTGCTTTCTGCTTTTTGAAATGGTGAAAATATAGAGCTGTTTCACAGTGGTTTCAAGAAAAATAGAGATAGGAGGTAAGTTTTATACTTGTTTGAACCAAACAGCTTACAACTTTTCCACAGCCCACAACCTATAGCAACTTTTTCACAACCCACAGCAGCAGAGCTTTTTCAGAAGGCACAGCCCAACCAAACACATTGGAACCATCAAGTTCATCCCATGGAGGAGGATATGGAAGAGTTGGGCCCCTTTGCACTGCTAATTCTTCTTGTGGTTGGCTATCAACAACGGATGTTGGACTGCAGACCGGCTAGCCAAGCTGTGATTGCCTCATCTGACTGCCTGCCCGTTCTATGACCAAGCCAAGGAAACAATGCAGAGCATTTGCTAGTCTCTTGTGTTTTCTCTCGGCAGG